TGCCTGAACCGATTCCAATAGAAATACAGCAAAGCATACGTCATGCCTACTATGCATCAGTTTCATGGGTTGACTCACAGATTGGTCGGGTATTACAAGCTCTTGATGACATGTCATTAGCAGATGATACATTAGTGGTACTCTTTGGTGATCATGGTTTCCAACTAGGCGAACACGACTCTTGGGCTAAAATGACTAACTGGGAGCTTGCTGTTAGAGTCCCACTAATCATAAGAGCACCATGGAAACCAGCTAGTGCTGGTAAGAGGAGTCATGCATTTGTTGAGCTAGTTGATCTGTACAGAACAATATCAGAACTGGTGGGTGCTCCATCACCTGGAGATGATATTGAGGGAGTTAGTTTTGCTAGTTTGTTTGACTCACCTGATCTGAATGCTCATGAAGCAGCACTTGCGCTAAACAAAACACCAGCAGCATATTCACAGTACACTCGTTGCCTCAAAAGTATTGATGCTCCTAAGCAATGGGACAATAACAGTTGCAGTGAGACCAGTAAGAATAAATTCATGGGCTATTCAGTGCGTGTTCCAAACTGGCGTTACACAGCATGGATGGAATGGGATGATAGTAGGTTGAAAGCTAAATGGGAAAGTGAGCCATATGCCGTGGAGTTGTACGATCATCATAAGAGTGATGGAGCAGATGGAACAGAGAATGACTTCAACCAGTGTGAGATTGAAAATGTTGCAGATAAGAATCCAGAAGTAGTGAAGGAGTTACAAAATCAACTAAAAAGTTTTTTTAACTAGCTAGACTCTCTGCTGTTAATACTACAATATGCTGCTTGCTTAATACCTAAATAATGGGCTGCAATACAAGACACAATGACATCTTTGTCACCTATTGGGTCGCTACTGTGATATAATAATTATTTTATAATAACAAGAACAAATAAAATTATTGAACAGTGGTATGTGTTAACATCATCATTGTTTGTCCTGATTAAAAAAAAACAATAAAACTAAAAGTAAATAATATTAAGGAATAGATCCACTAAAGACAAAAAACTTCATTTTCACATCCGATCTTTTTCTTTGTGTTTTCTAAAAAAGGATATTATAATAATTAGTAATCACATTATACTAAAGGCGCTAGCTGTGAATTATTCTGCTCATCTGACGAAAAGGAATAGGTGCTGTTGCAAAAAAGGGTGAAGAATTTTTGTTCCTTGTTGAGATGTATAAACTTGTGAGATGCAGATTTCTACTCTAGAAGATGTCAATGTGAAAAGATGAATGTTGAGTTGTAATTCTCAGACTGGCCAGCTACATGTGCTTTGAAGTCCATTACAAATTATCCATTACAAATTATTGAAGTTATGGACAATTTAGAAAATGATCTGATTTTTTAAACTTAATCCCGATTGGAACCAGTTCCAAGTTGATACACAATAAAAGGGCAAGTATATATGTATCAGAAAAAAAATTTGAAGGATTCTCTCCAATGCCTCTGTACTATAGTACAGGGTGTTTTTTGCCTGATTTTTGAGCAACTTTTAAAATTCATTAAAAAATCCAAATTTGATCAAAACCAGTTCAAAGTTCATACACAACATAAGGACAAGTATGCGTATCAGAAAAATATTAATTATAAAAATAAAGAATTCTCTCCTAGCCATTTTTGACAAAATTTTGGCCAATGTCCCTTAGTACAAGGTGTTTTGTCCAATTTTTAAGCAACTTTAAAAAATCCAAACTTGATTGGAAACAGTATGAAGTTCATAAGCAGAAGTAGCTTGCCTTCTCTGCATATTTCTTACAGTGCTGGCATGTCTTCAATCTCTTTGAGCCAGAAGAGATTTTACACGTAGGTTTCACTGTAGTTGGCAAGGATTATCAAGACAGTTTGCTCAATACACCTCCTACTTAATATGATCTATTTTTAACTGGATACATGCCCCATAATAAACCTCCAACCTACTCCAAAGCCAGCAATTGCTTGCTCTTTTGAGTTTACCAACAATGCAAATTTGAAACAAAATACAAACAGTGAGATGTTTCTTAATAGTACTTACACTCACCCTGGCCATAGGGAAAAAGTTAAGCACTAAGAAATGAATCCTTGATTGAACTCAAGCATCATCATCTGCAGGTGTAATTTTACGTGTAAAGTATCAAAAAATGATACTTCATCAGTTTTAATTGCTAATAAAACAGGTGTAAAATGACATGCTTAGTTGCACATGTGATTGCATATGCATACAAGCTGTTTATTAACCATAATTATGCTAGCAATTTATTGCTAAATGTATTATTATTTTTAATAGCTCATAGCTACAATAACACTTTTAATGATTATTGATGCGGCATTGACCAAAGTTTCATGTATTCCAGTAAAACCACATGCATGGAAGATAAGCCAAAGCTTGCCATGGCCTCTTTTCAGTTGCTCAAGAGTCATCTCTCATATTTCTTATTCCGATTTAACAGTATTGCTATTGGATTGTGACTTTTGTGGAAGAAGTGGTAATTGATTATAGAGGGCCTCAACAAAAGCTTCTTGGCTTTTGGCAATTAAGGCTTGAAAGCTTTACTTTCAAGGCCATCCTGGAATTATTTTATTTTATAAATAATGTCAGTGCTGTAATAGTGAGTTTTTCATTTTAGATACAAAATTGTAGATCAGATTAGGAGCAATAAACTACAATGCTGCTCTAAAGCTTCAATTGTCCAAGCTCCAAATAGTTCTGTTCAAAATTAAGGAAGATTGAAGACCATCTCACTTGCTTAAGGTTAACTGGATCTGAGGTTTCTCAGTTTTCAGCAGACGATCTTCAAGACTTATAAGAGCTACAAGGTTTATAGCGACTATTCTTTATATTTGATTTTGATCAGCAACACTAACAAATTTATGATAATAATGCAACAAAATGACAGTGTAACAAAACATGCCATTGCATTGAATAATACACAAATTTTATGCTACATGTAATTGCGATAGTTCATAGGACCTGATGTAGTCAAGCTCCAGTACAAGAGACAGCTAGAGGAACACCAACAGCACCCACCCAGCATTATTATATCCCTGCAGCAAGACAGTGAATGTAATGCAGGCACACAATTCACTATCAATGTCTGATGCTGGTAAATATAGGAATCAAAGGATGATGTTTTTTGGTGCGCTTACATTTACCTGTTTGTATTAGATACTGGTTTAAAAGTCTTATCATATTTTATATTCTATTTTATAATCTTTGTATTTTAAAGTATATTTGAGTGCACTAAAATGAAAACTAGAATCCTCTTGAAGAACTCATCTCTCCATTCATTACAGCCTCCCTTGATGAGAGGATATGATAATGATTATATCAACATCCTACAAAGGATGAGTTTGTTCTCTTGAAAAAAGGTAGGAGTATTTCATTATGATTAGCAAGTTCTCAACATACAACAGTGAATGTTGCATTAGAGTTTTACAATATCTTAGAATTGATTTTAATGTGACGGGCTCCAAAGCCATTTGAAATAGAAGAATACTTAAGAGTAACATTAATCAATTCAGGGCCTCTGAATTAGAAAAATGTAGAGCATACATGAGGGAGTTCCAGTCAGATAAAACCCCCAAGAATGTACAAAGTACTTCAAAGGGGTGAAATCAGAAAATCAACTGTCAAGCACAACATTATATAGTGTATTCTACGAAGACGAGACTTCTTGGCCATTTCATAGAGGATCAGGCACTCATATGGCATACGTTGGCTCTCACTGCAATCCACACAGTAAGAAGATTGTCATTGACAATAAGAAAATTGAAGACGCTCAGTTAGACCTTTAGCAGGAGGGGGAGCACGTCAATGGAAAGCAGTTGCAATTGGAATTGAGGAATAATACCAGTCTAATACTGATTTGTTGTAATGCTTTCTATCCTTTTCCCAATGCAGTATACATTAAAGCTAGGAACCAGAATGCACACTTCATCCCGTGTGTAAGTATCGTTGTATAGCTCCAGCTTGTGGGATAGGAGCTTTTCTTTGAAAGTCTGCAGTTTTTCTAATAATACTAATGAATGCCTGGGTCTGACTGTACCCTAGGGGAACTGCAGTTGTTATGCCAGTGATAAGACATCCTCTAAATTATTTTAATGCTATAGTATACTTAAATTGCACAAGGGAGCGAAAAAGACAGCAATTTTTAAATTAATGCTTTCGAAATTTAAGGTTGTTTATACCTTTTCGTGAAAAATCCAAAAGCATCTAAAAGATAGATCTTGGAAACAGCTGTTACACATACTAAACATTAGGAAAAGTCAGTTAAGTTCTTGAAGTGGATGAACTCTCGGCCCTTTACTAATGTATATCTGAAGAACAGTTAACAGTTGTATAATGCAGAAGAACGAAAAAAGCAAATGAAATTGGAAATATTGAAGAAAGTGGATCAAGTTTCAAACCAGTACTCATACTGTAGATCAGAATCTACATGAGCAATTATTTTGCACAATTTTTTTTGCTCTCAAGCACAAGCACCTCAAAGACATAGCAGCAAAAGAATAAGATTGACAAAATATTGAAAAGCTTGCATCCTCCATGGTAAGGGGAAGAAACAAGCAATTGTTATACCCAGCTATGCTTGAATCAACTGCAATACTTAGTGAAGAATCCAAGACTCTATGATTGGAGAGCAAGTACATGTATGCTTGCAGGCTTACTTTGGCACTGCCACCATCAAGTCAGAGAAGATATCCATGCTTTTAACATCATACCTCATAGATTAGCCAAGGAAAGAGCCACTTCTAATCATAAAGTATTCTTGACTATGACAATATTAATCTCTTTATTGCTTTTACTACTCACTTTATATTATTATTAATAGACAAATGATAAAACTTCCTGAAGATGCAGTTATATTGGAAGAAAAATGAATAATAGTAATATAGACCGACCACATCTAATGTTGCCCAATTATCACAAAACACCCACTTTGATCCTCTTCATCCAACATAGAGAATGTCTAGCTTCTTCAAAATAAGCAAAAAAGTGTCATGAATATAAAAACAATGATGGAAACTGGATATGCTGTGACACTTGTGATCGTTGGTACCATGTGTCTTGTGTTGGTTTAGTATATGAGAATATTAATGATGTTGACTGGGTATGTTCATTTTGTGAGTGTTAAATTTTATTGATTAATTTTCAGAAATTAATTGGAGTTTAAGCAGTAGGGTTAGACAAAGTTAATCTTAGAGGGGCTCCCCACCAAGCTCATCTGCGCATGCGCATTACTGCATATATTAACAGGGGGGATGAAGGCTCTACTTCAGTCGATCGCTAGATTTGAAAGAGGTAGCAGTCGCTAGCTCCTTACTTTCCTTTTGTAAATAGTTACTTGTTGTCTTTTTCCTTTTTTTGGACCCGATGGCTACTCCAACTACCACATCTGGTCCTTCGGGATCTAGATTGTCTAGTTCTACCAGCACCCCTTCCCTCTCTCAGGTGCAGGAGGAGTTAGTCACCGCCATTTAACTTGCAGTGAGGAGAGAAGTTCAGTCGGCGGTTGCCAGAGAAGTGGAGGCCGCCGTCTCTAGGGCTGTATCCTTGGCTATTCCTCCGACTCCTCCGGTTATCCCACCTATGACAGTATCTGGAGTATAGAACTATAAGGATCACCAGTCAATACATTTAACCTTCCTCCATTTTCTTAGAAATTTACTATGCGCTTTTTCCTGCCCACCATTCTACTCAAAATAGGCAAGTGAGACAAAGGCCCCAACTAATACTCTACTGGAAGAGACAATGGAAGAGGATGACCATAGTAACTCACTATTAGCTGATAGATTAGTCTGAGATACTTCAGAAGAAATGAGGCACTCAATGTTTTGAGTTAAAGCTGGCCCCTTCCTTGTCTTCCTTCTCCAGACTACATCTACTAGTTAATGAAAAAGACTCACTTTTGTGTAGAAAGAGCCTAGT